GCTCCACACTCCCCTCCAGCCCCACCACACCCGGCACTTTTCCCTGCAACCGCAGGAAGTGCTACACCTGCCCCCATACCTCCTCCCTCACCCCCATCCCAGGCCCCAAGACGACTTTCCACATCAAGCAGATGTTCACCTGCACATCTGCTAATGTGGTATACTGCATCCGCTGTACCTGTTGTGGCCTCCTCTACATGGGGGAAACCAAGCGGAGGCTCGGGGACCGCTTTGCGGAACACCTACGCTCAGTTCGCAATAAACAACTACACCTCCCAGTCGCGAACCATTTCAACTCCCCCTCCCATTCCTCAGACGACACGTCCATCCTGGGCCTGCTGCAGTGCCACAACGATGCCACCCGAAGGTTGCAGGAACAGCAACTCATATTCCGCTTGGGAACCCTGCAGCCCAATGGTATCAATGTGGATTTCACAAGCTTCAAAATCTCCCCTCCCCCTACCGCATCCCAAAACCAGTCTAGCTCGTCCCCGCCTCCCTAACCTGTTCTTCCTCCCACCTCTTCCCTCCTCCCACCTCAAGCCGCACCCCCATCTCCTACCTGCTAACCTCATCCCACCCCCTTGACCTGTCCGTTCTCCTTGGACTGACCTATCCCCTCCCTACCTCCCCACCTACACTCACCTTTACTGGCTCCATCCCCACCTCTTTGACCTGTTTGTTTCCTCTCCTCTATCCATCTTCTATCCGCCTCCCCCTCTCTCCCTATTTATTTCAGAACCCCCTTCCCCTCCCCCATTTCTGAAGGAGGGTCTAGGCCCGAAACGTCAGGCTTTCTGCTCCTATGATGCTGCTTAGCCTGCTGGGTTCATCCAGCTCTGCACCTTGTTGTCTCTTGCTTTAGATTTGTGCCCTTTTTACTTCAGACTGCACTTATTAGAGAGATATATGGGGCATCTTTAAAACGTGATTTTTAACTACATTGATCACTGAATTAACTGAAATCTTGGCAATTCCAAAAGTAAGAGCTGATGGCTAATGTCACACTCTCTTTTGGCTAATTCTGCTCAAGTATTAATTACAAGGGTCATATGTGCTGATATCCCACTAGTATGATAACAGATTTGTTGGGTTTTTTTGTTGGCTTGTTACCCGTTTCTATTTCAGGCTGTGCTGTTCTCAGGTTCAAGCTATTCCATTGATATGAAACAATTTGATCAATACTGATTCAAAATCAATTGCCAATTTCTTATCTTATGAATACATGTATTAATAATTAACCAACTGTCCAAAATGTTTGACTACTGACCTGAATATTCATTGATATTCAATCACAGGATCTCTTTCAGTCTTTCCAATGTTACAACCATACCTGGTTTTCCTAAAACAAGGTTCAGTCGCTCAAATAGTCATCAATGTAACATTGTACCCAATGCGAGTTCCTCCACAATAGTGTTGTGTTGAGTCCATCTTGGTCTTTGCAATTTAATTCTAATCAAGACATTAAAGTAGAATGTAGTGTAATCAAGGCCCAAATTTCCAATTTCACCACAAATCCTATGTTTGTTAACTATGCCTCATTAATTTACAGGCTGAGAGCTCAAAAACTCCAGGTCTTGAGCTCAAAATTCAAGGCTGACAGTGCAGTATGAAAGTGGTGCACTTTCAGAGGTGCCATCTTTCAGAAAACACACATTAAACAGAGATTCAATCTATCCTTCCTAATCGGGTTAAAAGGTCTCATAGCACTAATTTGGAATGTGCAAGGGGACTGACCTTTGTTCTAGATAATATTTCTCTCGTGAGCAACATCACAAAAACAGATTATATGATCATTATAACACTCCCGTATGTGGGAATTTGCTGTGCATAAATACTTAAGATTATGACAGTGACTACTTTTCAAAGTGCTTCATTGGCTGTAAATTGCTTTGGAACACAGATTGTTGAAGGTGTTTTCTAAATGTTTTTGCATACTTTAAGAGGTGATTTGGTGTTGTTTAAAACTTTTCATTGCCAAAATACTAGATACATTTCTTAATGTTTAAAGAGGACCAATTTAATTTGTTCCACATGAACTTTCTCAAGGAAATTTAAAAAAAAATGTTTCAGCAGTGGGAGGAAAAAATCTACAAGGAAAGTCAGGTAAAAGGACTACTCTGACTACTTCTCAAACTCTCGGATTTGTTGAGAGACCATGTCCTTTATGCATCTATAGAAGAATAGAACTGCTTTTTGCTGACATTGTCAAATATATCATATACATTTAGTCCCAGCTTCCATCCCTTTGCAATTGTTGGCACTAATTTTCATTTTGCCAGTGCTGAAATTGAAGTTCAAATTCATTTCGACTACTGTACGACACTTGTATAAAAAAGCCAACATGTCACAACATGGAGGAACATGATAGAAGAGATGCAGAGCCTACTGCCAACAAATTCTGCAGTCACCAAGTACTCAAACTACGTTCTTTCAATAATCCAAAATATAATAGATAGCTATATTTAAAAGAAAACTTATTTAAACTAAACGTGTATACTCCAACATATTTATTTTTTGTGGGTTGAATTTCTGCCATTTTATTCAGGTATGAACAGAACACCAAATGGTTCACCAAAGACAAAGGGATGCTCTCTTTTCATAAAAGCCTGGTTACAGAGTACTATTGACAATGCCTAAGAATAGGTCACTGGTCTTCTCTCCTGTGACTTGAAAAGAAAAAGAATTGGAAATTATAGAAATAAACCTTATAATTCCTAATTAATTCCTGAAGTGCCATTAAACTTAAACCCCTAACTCTCTCTCACAGTCAATGAAAATGGGCCTTCTAACCTCATGACTTCCTTCGGCTACAGCTTTCACCCAGTACTTAGTGAGAATCCTGCTTGCGTGCAGAAGATGCCAGACAAATGGAAAAAATGAAATGAAATAGCTGGACTCATTGGAGCTCTTTTCCTCAACATCAGCACAATTGCTCATTGTGGTTTTCAGGAGACTGGAAACAAATTTCAAGTTCTTGTTTACACGGGACCCCATGTTTTCTGAATTACATCTAAATGGGGTTGATTCATTTTATTTGTCATGGCACTCCAACCTCTCACTCTGTGCCTTCTGTAGACCCTATGAAACTCTGGGAAAATCTAAATTACATTGCAAAACTACTGCTGAGCTCAGAAGATTTTCCACTACTGCCAGGGTACTTGTTGTCAGTTTCGGTAAATGACATGACCTTTTCTACTGAATTTCTAAATCACCTGACCTGTAAATTTGCTGTGTTAATGGAAATAAGTCCCCCAAAATCTTTTTTTCCTCGTGAGATACTTGAAAGCAGAGGCCATGTCAGCACTCATGAAAACCTTAGATTTGCTGTTCTTACCGATACACGGTACTGAAGCCAGTTGTTATGGCCTAGGAAACAGGAATTAAATTGTGTATTTTCTTCATCTGTACAGATCTGTATCATTGTGGACAGTCACATACCAAGGAAGCAATAAAGAACCAAGTTCACACATCCAGGTCAGGCACAAAAAACTATAAATAGTGTGTTCAATATTGTTTTACATTAAAAGTTCAATCATTTTATACTTGCCAGCAACTATTTAAATCCTGTCTGCTTCATTTTATAGATGATCGGTCTGCTTTTCCGAAGGAAAATACAACAATTCAAGACCGTTCAAATTCTTGAATGACACACATAATTCGGCCAGACAAAAAGAAAAAAGGAGATCAAGGTTGACCTACCTGATGGTCCTCACAGAGATGCAGTACTTCCACATTAGATTCCACATTGTATTGACATCACCAATTTGAGCATTTTATTCTCACAAACCATGGAGTTTTACAGTTGCAGCAAAGAGCTGCCTTCAGGAGCAAGCAAATTATTTCCTGGTGCAGCCAGTTAATGACTCTCAGGCTTGAAACAATTTCCACCACAACTCATTTAAGGAAAATGTACTAAATTTCAAGGAAACTGCATTACAAGTTTCTTTACCCAGCTTCTTGTTGTACTTGCAACATTGATTTCTTTTCCTGATTGTTGATCCTGAAACTGAAAATGTATGACGCTCACAAATTTACCAAGTAAGGTAAAAGTCCAAACAGTCCGATGAGGTTTGACAGTCGAGTTCACCACTGAGTAACATTGGCTGTCTGTGGGGCCCCTTAATATTACTTACCAGATGACAGCAACAATACACCCTAAATCATCTGGTGGGGACTGTTTAAACTCCCAGCTGCCTGAAGAATTTCCAACTTGTCTAGTACAATAAAACAGTACATATGCAGCCAGTGATGAATAGATCGGAGTTTTCTCATTAAAACATTTGACAAGAAACTGTAAATTGTGGTTTTAGAAATCATTTTCTGTGAAGTCACACTACTTGAAGATTATGCAATTTCAAAACTCAACAAATTAAAACATTTAGAGCATTATATACCCAAATCTGGAAGCATTTTACTCAACAATTTTTCTAGTGAAGTTTAGGCAATAATACTGCAAAACATGGACTGGATTTTTAAGTTGTTATACAGGAAATTCACCAGAATTGATTAACTGAGCACATTTACTTCATTAGATTCGTTAGATTTTGTATCATTGAAATTTGAAAATGTCTAAAGGATGTTTCCTCTGGCATTGTTGGGGGTGGTATCTGGAACCAGGGCACAAAGTTGCCGAGTAACCATTTAAAACAGAGAAGAGGAGGAATGGGCTGTGGAAGCCTAATCACTGAGAATATTCAAGACATCTGGATAAAGAGATATCATGGGGATGACATCGAAAACTGGTATTTAGGTAGATTATGAGCCATGATATACAATGTTAGTATAAGCTAATAGGGCAGAATGGCCTACTCCTATCTCTATCTTCCTCTATCACAAATATTGCAATTCTAATATTCCCTGAAGACCAAATGATGGAGAATGTTTCTTTTTCCACTTAAGTGTTAAATGCCATTCACACGCCTAAGACACCCTGTCCTCAATGCCAACCCATGGCAGCATTCCCCTCAATCCCTCCTCCCAGGAGGGGAATTATACCTGCTATACCATTTACAAAACCAGCTACCCAGTATCCACCATGAGCTAACCTCAGGTGCTATGTGGAGATTGAATAAACTCACAAATCGGATATACTACATACATAGGAGTGTGAGCTAATGAAAAAGAAAACCCTCCCACTTATAAACCCCTTCCAAAACTTTTACACCTCACAGTCAAGCTGGTTAAAATATCTTTCATTCAGACTCCACAAAGACGGCTAATCCTTTAACAGCCTCACTAAACTGTAAATAAAACTGAACTACGAACATGCCACAGAGTTAATTGTAGCTTTTGAAGCCAAGCATTCACATTTTTATAAAGAACATAGCTCCTAATAATACTAAAATAGTCCTTGGAGATCTTTGCCATCCTTTCAGGGCATCAACATCTATTTCATCAATTCATTTCTCCCACAACGTGGGTTAGAGCCCTTGGATCAGTCAAAATGGGGTCTGTCTGAATTCAGCGCCGAGTTCAGCAACGATCTTTAGAGTTCAGGTTTTCCTCCTGAATGAATTATGCCTTGCCTGTTTTCCCTACTGCCAAAAACTGGATTTGTCAGAATGGGAGTGTGCATGTTTTGGGGGAGGGGATAGGATGGGCGAATTCTGTATCCAGGCCTTAAATGCCATTTTCAAGTATCAAATCTGTCCCTGAAATCTGGAGACAAGTTCACGTTACAGCAATCAATCATCACTCTTCCATCCGAAAAATAAATGGCACCAGGCTTGCCACTGGCTTTTTGGCAACACAACACGCAGTGTAGTTCAAAAATTAATTCATTTTAGATTATTTAAATTCGATGAAGACTTATTTCTTCTTTGTGACGTTCACAGCAGTCACAATGCTATATTTCTTTGACAGTCAACCCCATGTACCAGTTGCTGTTCCCAAGAATATAGCCCTTTCATGCAAATTTAAAAAAAATTCAGTCAGAACAAACAGCATAAAAAAACTGAGACTTTCATACAGAATTAAGACTAATATAAATTTATCCATCATAATTCAAAGGTAACTACAGATTTAGACATCATTGGCAAGAGGAGAAAAAAAACAGTTAAGCAATTCACTTTTATAACTATGGAGCTCAAAATGGTTGTTTCTTTTTGATTCATTCATGTAATTCAGGCACCTCTGACTGGACCAGTATTTATTGCCCATCCGGAGTTGCCCTTCCGAAGGTGGTGAGAAGCCTTCTTGATTTGCGGCAGTCCACATGTTGGAGATAGATGCACAATACTGCTGGGGAAGCAGTTTCTGGATTTTGACACAGCAATACTGAAAAGGCAATACACTTCAGTCAGGATAGTGAATGGCTTGGAGGGGGACCTGCAGGTTCTGGTCTTCTCATGCATCTGTTTCCCTCATCCTTCGACATGGCGTGGGTTCAGAGAGTGCTGTCTAAGGGGCTTTGGTGAAATTCTGCAGTGCATCTTGTAGATGATCACATTTCTGAGACCGGGTGTCATTGGAGGAGAGACTGAAATGTTTTTGCATGTGGTACCAGTCAAGTGGGCTGCACTGTATTGGACAGTGACAAGTAGTTGTTGTTGTTTTTTTTTGTTTTTAAAAAAAGTGTTATTAGAGCTGCACTCATCCAGGCAAGTTAGGAGCACTCCATCACACTCCTGACTTGTGCCTAGCAGATGGGTGAATAGGTTTAGAGGAGGTCAGGACGAAGTTACATGCTGCAAGATTTCCAGCCTCTGACCTACTTTTGATGTCACAATACTTGTATAACTAGTCCAGTTCAGATCCTGGGGTTACAACTGACCAGGAAGCTGTTGTGGGGAATTCAGTGATGGTAACACCATTGACCGTGAAGGGGTGATGGTTAGATTCCCTCTTGCTGTAGATGGTCATTGCCTGGTTTTGTTTCGCATGAATGTTACTTTCCACTTGTCAGCCAAAACCTGGATATTGTCCAGGTGTTGTTGCATTTGGAGGATTGTCACAATATCTGGAAGAATTGAGGAAGGTGCTTAACACTGTGCAATCTGCAAATGCCCCCACTCCTCATAGAGGGAAGGTCATTGATGAAGCAGCTGAAGGTAGTTGAGTTGAGGACATTCCCCTGAAGAACTCTTTAGAGATGTCCAACCACCACAACCATCGTCCTTTGTACCTGGTATGACTCCAAACACAGAGCTTTCCCTTCGATTTCCATTAACTCCTCAATGCCACTCCAGTCAAGGATACAGTCACTCTCGCCTCACTTCTGGAATTTAGCTTTGTCCACATTTGAACCAAGGCTGTAATGCGATCAGGAGCAGACTGGCTTGGGTAGAACCTGAACTGAGCATTAGTGACCAGGCTGTTACCAAGTGTTACTTGATGGCACTGTTGTTGACAGTTCCCACTTTACTGATGATCAAGTTGGGACAGTAATTGGTTTTCTTTATTGTACATAAGACAGAATGGGCAATTTTCCATATTGTCGGGTAGATGTCAAAGTTGTAGCTGTATGGGAACAGCTTGGCTAGGCATCAGCTTGCTTGGAGCACCAGACTTCAGTACCACTGCAGGAATGCTGTCAAGGCCCTTAGACCTTGGCAGTATCCAGTGACTCCAACTGTTTTGGATATCACATGGATTGAATTGGCTGGAGACGGATGTCCATGATGCTGGGACCGTCAGAGACAGTCATCCACTCAGCATTTCTGGTTGCAGATTGTTGTGAATACTTCAACCTCATCTTTTGTACATATGTGCTGGCCCCTCCTATTATTGCAGACTATGTTTGTGGATCCACCTCGTCCAGTTAGTTGTTTACTTGTCCAATACCATTCATGTTTGGATGTGACAGGACTGCAGATTTAAACGACCCATTAGTTGTGAAATCACTTTGTCTTGTCTATCATTTGCTCGTTACGCTATTTGCTACACAAGTAGTCCTGTTTTGCAGCTTCACCACATTGCCTAAAAGTAAGGTGTCATGCCTGGTTCTGTTCCTGGCATGCCTTCCCTGTAGTCTTCAATGGCACCAGCATAATAAATGCTCAAAGTAGTGGTAAAATTGTACTTTTTTGATTTACCTGACACTATTAAAAGGCACTGTCCTGCCATATGGGATCTCCATTATAATCATGAGGTTATTAGAATTCTACAAAAGAAGATTTCCAAGCCACAATTCACACTTAATTATTATAACAATTCTTTGCCATTGAATTCAACCAATGGCAGCACATTTCATCAACAACTTTAGATACACAAATAGAACTTTATGAATGATAACATCACTATAAAACATGAATTACTTTGTGACTCATTCAGCTGCCAAACATTTTATGGCATGACAAGTGGATTAAAAGACATCTCAAGGTACTAATACTAGGCAATATCCAATTAAAAGGTACTTAATGAGCTTGTACACTAGTATTTAAAATCCAGGCTTTGAGTGAGCAAAAATCGAATATATGAAATAAAATGAAATTCTTGTAAATATTCCTGAACCTAGGCTTGCCAAAGGGACTTGACATTATAAGTTTACTAGATTTTTCAGTTGTTGCCATGATTTTTTTGTACCAATATTTCCAGGTCAATGAACATATTTCAAGTGTCTGGAATCAAACAATTGCTATTTCCAAGCTTGCCAAAATCTAATTCTGGATGAAGTCACTCTTGACATTTCAAGAAACACAAGAGTAAAGTGAAATAGGTAGTAATTTGTTACATGTAGGCCCTGTTTAGAGCCTTTTGAAGTGTTCTGATAAAAATTTTTTTTAAGAGGATTCAGACGAAATTTGGCAATATAGCATCTCATCATATCATGGGATGACCCAAAGCATTCATTCACAAAAGGAAAAAAGCAAGTGATAGATTCCTTCCTTTGTCGAATTATCAGACGTAGCTGGAAATGTGGAGTAATCAGATCAGGCATGATCTTAATGAATTGTAGAGCAGACTCAAGGGGCCAATTAGCCTATTCCTGCTCCTAATGCGTACGTTCTCAGCAACACTCATTGTTATACAGGTAAATACTATAGTCAATTTGCTTGAAAGCAAGATCCAAAAAAAAAATCAGTAAATTGGATGCATGACCAGACAAAGTTTCCAACAGTGCCGGCTGAGGAAAGAACCTTTTGACAAAGGCTCATCTCCCTTCTTGTGCAAATTTCCATGGATCCTCTTCAAGTACTTCTCCATGTATAGCTAATTTTTATACAGTCATTTTTTTTTAACTAATATCCAAGTTATTGCTGGTGCTGAGCAACAAATGTCAAGATATGTTAATATCTTGAACAAGAACATATGCACACAACGTTCAAAGTTCATTTTGGCTCATATATGTTAACACTAG